GGAGGGGGCAGGACGTACTACATATGCCCTGTGTGCTTTAACCGCCTCCCGGACGGCCGTTGTACAAAATACGGGCTGCCGGGAGTTCCCTAGATATGAGCTGGAGTATTTAAACGTCCCGACAGGACCGCCCACTTATCGTGCTGTGCAGCGCCTCGCGAGCAGGAAACTGCCTACATTTAAAAACAGGCTGCCGGTCCTTGTGTGTCGTCGTCCTCGCCCGCCCTCCGTGGCCCCCCCTCCCACTGTCTCGATGGTCCTGGGTTCCGCTGTGCTCTGTGACAGGGATCAGGGGGAGATTGGTACACGATCTACCTCCGGTCAGAGGTGCCTCTGTTACTGCAACCTCCCTGAGGGCAGAGGTTCCTCTATTACTGCAACCTTTCTGAGGGCAGAGGAGCCTCTGTTACTGCAACCTCTCTGAGGGCAGAGGAGCCTCTATTACTGCAACCTCACTGAGGGCAGAGGAGCCTCTGTTACTGCAACCTCTCTGAGGGCAGAGGAGCCTCTATTACTGCAACCTCACTGAGGGCAGAGGAGCCTCTGTTACTGCAACCTCTCTGAGGGCAGAGGAGCCTCTATTACTGCAACCTCACTGAGGGCAGAGGAGCCTCTGTTACTGCAACCTCTCTGAGGGCAGAGGAGCCTCTATTACTGCAACCTCACTGAGGGCAGAGGAGCCTCTGTTACTGCAACCTCTCTGAGGGCAGAGGAGCCTCTATTACTGCAACCTCACTGAGGGCAGAGGAGCCTCTGTTACTGCAACCTCTCTGAGGGCAGAGGAGCCTCTGTTACTGCAACCTCTCTGAGGGCAGAGGAGCCTCTATTACTGCAACCTCTCTGAGGGCAGAGGAGCCTCTGTTATTCTCCCCTGTAGAAGGGGCAGAACAGCCCTTATTACCCCCACTTCTCATGAGCCGTCTTTATAAATCCCACCCCAATCAGAGCAGTACAGCCTCTATTATCTCTACACTTCTGAGGGGCAGAAGAGCCTCTCTAACCCCCTCCCCTCTAAGTGAAAAGAGCCTCTATTGCCTGGGGACGGGGTAGAGGACTCTCTATTTTCCCATCCCTGTGGGGGACAAAAGTGTCCCTATTACCTTCCATTGTAGAAATAGCAAAGAAGCCTCTATAGCCTCCACCTGTGGAAGGGGTAGAATTCTCATCATCAACTCTTACAGGGGAAAAGCAGACTCTATTTATCCTCCCCACAGAGACGCAGAGAAGCCTCTATAACCTCCACCTGTGGAAGGGGTAGAACTCTGATCACCTCTTAAAGGGGTAAAACAGCCTCTATCTATCCTCCCCACAGAGTAGCCTCTAATACCTCCACCTGTAGAAGGGGCAGAAGAGCCTCTATTATATCCACCTGTAGAATGGACAGATGAGCCTCTATTATCTCCACCTGTGGAAGGGGCAGATGAGCCTCCATTATCCCCACCTGTAGAAGGGGCAGATGAGCCTCTATTATCCCCACCTGTAGAAGGGGCAGATGAGCCTCTATTATACCCAACTGTAGAAGGGGCAGAGGAGCCTCTATTATATCCACCTGTAGAAGGGGTAGAGGAGCCTCTATTATATCCACCTGTGGAAGGGGCAGATGAGCCTCCATTATCCCCACCGGTAGAAGGGACAAATGAGCCTCTATTATACCCAACTGTAAAAGGGACAAATGAGCCTCCATTATCTCCACCTGTAGAAGGGGCAGAGGAGCCTCTATTACCTGTAGAAGGGGCAGAGGAGCCTCTATTATCTCATCCCCTCTGAGGGATAAAACAGCCTCTATTACCTACACTTGTAGAAGAGGCAGCATCGCCTCTATTATCCCAGCTCGTAAAAGTAGCAGATGAGCCTCGGTTATCCTCCCCTGTAGAAGGAGCAGAGGAGCCTCTATTATCCCCAACAGTAAAAGAAGCAGAGAAACCTCTATTACCTCTACCTGTAAAAGGGACAGAAGAGCCTCTATTACCTCCTCCTCTCTGAGGGATAAAACAGCCTCTATTATCCACACCTGTAAAAGGGGCAGGGGAGCCTCTATTATCTTCAATTATAGAAGGGGCAGATGAGCCTCTATTATCCCCTGTAGAAGGGACAGAAGAGCCTTTATTACCTCCTCCCCTTTGAGGGTAAAAAAAAGCCTACACCTGTAGCATAGCCTCTATTACCTACACCTGTAGCATAGCCTCTATTACCTACACCTGTAGCATAGCCTCTATTACCTACACCTGTAGCATAGCCTCTATTACCTACACCTGTAGCATAGCCTCTATTATCCCAACCTATAGAAAGGGCAGAGGAGCCTCTATTACTTCTACCTGTAGAAAGGGCAGAGGAGCCTCTATTATCCCAACCTATACAAGGGGCAGAGGAGCCTCTATTATCTTTAGCTGTAGAAGGGACAGAGGAGCCTCTATTATCCCCACCTGTAGAAGGGGCAGAGGAGCCTCTATTATCTTTAGCTGTAGAAGGGGCAGAGGAGCCTCTATTATCCCCACCTGTAGAAGGGGCAGAGGAGCCTCTATTATCTTTAGCTGTAGAAGGGGCAGAGGAGCCTCTATTATCTCCACCTGTAGAAGGGGCAGAGGAGCCTCTATTATCCCCACCTGTAGAAGGGGCAGAGGAGCCTCTATTATCCCCACCTGTAGAAACGGCAGAGGGACCTCTATTATCCCCACCTATAGAAGGGGCAGAGGAGCCTCTGTTTCCCCCACCCCATGCAAGAACAGAACAACCTCTACTACCTCCACTTCTAGAAGGGGCAATAGAACCTCTATCACAACCACATTAAGGAACACAACAGCCTCTACTATCTTCAGCCTCTGAAGGGACAAAACCCCCTCTATTCACCCCAGTGAGGGGCAGATCAGCCTCCATTACCTGCAGAAGGGGCAGGTGAGCCTCTCTTACCTGTGACGGAGACATTCTGGACTTTCCTCCGCTCCAGGAAATCGCAGCTGATGTTGAATCCCTGCAGTCCACCGGTGAGGTTGCCGGTGGCATTGCCGGTCAGGTTCAGGCTGGATATTCTGCTCAGCACGCTTTGCCGGCAGAGCAGCTCCTGCAGAGAGGTGGCATTGCCCGTCAGCCGCACGGCCTCCATCCTCCTGGTCCTCCACCAAGGCTGTTGCTGGGAATCCAGATGGAGCAATGCACACTTCCAGCCTATGCGTGTGTGCGGCTCATCCCCTGGACTCAGCCTTCGCACTTTTCTCCTCTTCACTGCTCTACTTCTGCTCCATCTGCCGTCCTCATCACTTTGCTGTCACTTTGCCCCCCTCTTGGCTTGTCCCCGTGGCTCGGCCTCCACCAGCAACCAGCAGCAGGTAGCTCCTGCGAGTGCCACGTGCGGAGACCAGTCACAGACTGGGACACGGTCTATGTGTGTGCTGGGGATGGGACTGATGAGAAAATAGATATTCCTTCACATTTACTATACAGCTTAATGCACAATTTACGCAATGACAGAAGTCAAATGGCATTGTTGTTGTCTGGCCCCTGTCAGCGGTACAGATGGATGGCGCTAATTATAATTCATAGGGGGGAGGGGTGAAGTCACATTGAAAATGAACCTGTCCGCGGTTATAGGAGATTGCAGCATATTGGCAAACACATTGATCAGCAGCGACTATCGCTGTGGATGGCGGTCAGCAAAAAGACGCAGCGCGGTTACACGACGGCGATCAGAGGCACCCGCTCACTTCGAGCGGTACAGGATATATCACAATATAATATTCATATGATATAGAAGTGCAGGGAGCCCTCAGTGTACACCGGGGGCAGGTTCCAGAGGGAATGGTTGCAAATAGAAACCTCGTATATAATGTAAGTCAATGGGAGGTGAGGGAGTTGGGTTCCCGGCCTCAAAGTGACATCATACACTGAGGGGAATTTATCAAAACTGGAGCACATGTGCACGGCAACCAATCAGCTTCTGCACGGCAACCAATCAGCTTCTCTCTTCAGCTTGTTCAGTTAAGATTTGAAAATGAGAGAGAGAAGCTGATTGGTGGCAACTGCTCCAGATTTTGTCTGTTCCAGTTTTGATAAATTCCCCCTCACTACTGTATTTAAAGCTTTGAAATGAATGTTGAATGCCCCAAGAGTACCCCAGTGCCCCTTGGCGTGGCCCTATCTGCCTCCATTAACAGAGTGTACCCCTGTGCTCCTCCGTATCTCCAAGTGTACCCCTGTGCTCCTCCATATCTCTAAGTGTACCCCTGTGCTCCTCCGTATCTCCAAGTGTACCCCTGTGCTCCTCCATATCTCTAAGTGTACCCCTGTGCTCCTCCGTATCTCCAAGTGTACCCCTGTGCTCCTCCATATCTCTAAGTGTACCCCTGTGCTCCTCCGTATCTCCAAGTGTACCCCTGTGCTCCTCCATATCTCTAAGTGTACCCCTGTGCTCCTCCGTATCTCCAAGTGTACCCCTGTGCTCCTCCATATCTCTAAGTGTACCCCTGTGCTCCTCCGTATCTCCAAGTGTACCCCTGTGCTCCTCCATATCTCTAAGTGTACCCCTGTGCTCCTCCGTATCTCCAAGTGTACCCCTGTGCTCCTCCATATCTCTAAGTGTACCCCTGTGCTCCTCCGTATCTCCAAGTGTACCCCTGTGCTCCTCCATATCTCTAAGTGTACCCCTGTGCTCCTCCGTATCTCCAAGTGTACCCCTGTGCTCCTCCATATCTCTAAGTGTACCCCTGTGCTCCTCCGTATCTCCAAGTGTACCCCTGTGCTCCTCCATATCTCTAAGTGTACCCCTGTGCTCCTCCGTATCTCCAAGTGTACCCCTGTGCTCCTCCATATCTCTAAGTGTACCCCTGTGCTCCTCCGTATCTCCAAGTGTACCCCTGTGCTCCTCCATATCTCTAAGTGTACCCCTGTGCTCCTCCGTATCTCCAAGTGTACCCCTGTGCTCCTCCATATCTCTAAGTGTACCCCTGTGCTCCTCCGTATCTCCAAGTGTACCCCTGTGCTCCTCCATATCTCTAAGTGTACCCCTGTGCTCCTCCGTATCTCCAAGTGTACCCCTGTGCTCCTCCATATCTCTAAGTGTACCCCTGTGCTCCTCCGTATCTCCAAGTGTACCCCTGTGCTCCTCCATATCTCTAAGTGTACCCCTGTGCTCCTCCGTATCTCCAAGTGTACCCCTGTGCTCCTCCATATCTCTAAGTGTACCCCTGTGCTCCTCCGTATCTCCAAGTGTACCCCTGTGCTCCTCCATATCTCTAAGTGTACCCCTGTGCTCCTCCGTATCTCCAAGTGTACCCCTGTGCTCCTCCATATCTCTAAGTGTACCCCTGTGCTCCTCCGTATCTCCAAGTGTACCCCTGTGCTCCTCCATATCTCTAAGTGTACCCCTGTGCTCCTCCGTATCTCCAAGTGTACCCCTGTGCTCCTCCATATCTCTAAGTGTACCCCTGTGCTCCTCCGTATCTCCAAGTGTACCCCTGTGCTCCTCCATATCTCTAAGTGTACCCCTGTGCTCCTCCGTATCTCCAAGTGTACCCCTGTGCTCCTCCATATCTCTAAGTGTACCCCTGTGCTCCTCCGTATCTCCAAGTGTACCCCTGTGCTCCTCCATATCTCTAAGTGTACCCCTGTGTTTTTCTGTATCTCCAAGTGTACCCCTGTGCCACCAGCACATCTCCATGTGTGCACCACTATACCTCCAAGTAGAGGATGAGCACACTGGGGGTTGAGCACACCGAGGATGAGCACCGAGCCCACCGAGATTGAGCACACCGAGGCCGAGTACACTGAGGCTGAGCACACCGAGAATGAGCACACCGAGGCCGCGAACACTGAGGCTGAGCACACCGAGAATGAGCACACCGAGAATGAGCACACCGAGAATGAGCACACCGAGAATGAGCACAACGAGAATGAGCACACCGAGAATGAGCACACAGAGGCCGAGCACACCGAGGCCGGGCACACTGAGGCTGAGCACACTGAGGCTGAGCACACCGAGAAGGAGCACACCGAGAATGAGCACACCGAGAATGAGCAAACCGAGAATGAGCACACCGAGAATGAGCACACCGAGAATGAGCACACTGAGTCCGACATTCAGGCCATTTATTGAAGTCCCAGCAGTCCCAGTGTCCAGATAGCAGAACACAGCCCACACGGAACTGACGAACATTCATCTCAGCAGATCCAGATGTTGCATTGGCTGAGACTAATTAATTCTTCCGTTCGGTTCAAGTGAACGTGCTGAATCTGTCCGGCTGAACCCAAGGGAAGTAAAGTGAGCCAATGTACGAGAGCCATTCTCGTACGAGAATCGAGCAGTGTGAACGAAGACGTGCGACCGTTTCTACTGTACGGTCGCACGTCTTTTGTCTAAGGAGCGCGCTAGAAAACCAGCCGGGAATCGTACGATTCTCGGCTGGTTAGAACGGTGCTCGGGAGACAAATGCCGAACGGGCCGGTGTGCGCACATGCACACTGCCCGTTCAGCATTGCGGTCATCGGAAGCCCACCCCTCAGGGGGGGTGGGCTTGCGATGATCGAGAGTACGATCTGCCTGTCCAAGTTGGGCAGATCGTACATTTTTTAAATTACTTTACAACCCTCGCAAGACTAAGGTCTTGCGAGGGTTGTAAAGTGTATGGCCACCTTAAGAATAACCGTACACGGCTGCAGTGACTAACCCCCTGAGTATTTATTTCTCTTCAGCTCCCTCTAGTGTCCATAGTATGGTATGACATCACAATATTTTTGCCCTAAAAATAACATTTAATAAGAACAATTATTTTCGACCATTATGTGCTCAACATGAACGTTCACAGATAGTCGCAGGGTGAAGAGGCCTTTCAATTGTTTATAAATAGAACCCTCTGCGTATCAACTTACGTTAAAAAGACGCATTTCTATAAGTGCCAACACTTATTATTTAATCACCTACATTTTATAGAAGTTCTCACTTTCAGAGGGAATGTGGAAAACCTTCCCACCAGCCTTCCTGCTGAGTATGGAGTGCTTGGGAAATGAAGACAAGACGTGTTGCCCAAAGAAAGCCGAACAGGAAATCCGATTGGTGAAGTGTGACGGTTCCCCACATTCTCAGGAAGGAAACATCTTTGTTTCAAGTTTAAAGGGAACTATGGTGTCAGGTGCTTTTCCCCATAGTTCTCCTTAGGGTAACGGGAGGACACAAACTAGCGTCCTCCCGCCACCCAAAGCTCAGTATATAGGGAGCTGCAGCTCGATAGTGAGGCGCCGCAGCTGGGACGGATCCCGACATTACTGTCTGGATCCACCCAGCTGCGTGAGTGACAGCTGGCTCTGCCTATCTAGAGGCAGAGCCAGCTGTTCCCGCCCCCTCCCCCGTCCGTTCCTCCAGTCAGCGCTGGAGGATAGGAGTGGGGAATCCCTGCAGGCAGCCGTGAGTCACAGTCACGGCTCGCTGCAGGGACAGGATCGAGAAGTGAGCGAGCGCCGGTATGTGTTCCCTCACTTCCCAATCTACTGAGCCGACCTGTGACAGTCTCATTGTCACGGGTCGGCTCAGATTATGAGGATGAGTGCTTTTCACTCACCTCATAGTTCTAGCCGACCTGTGACAATGAGACTGTCACAGGTCGGCTCAGTAGATCGGGAGGTGAGCGAACACATACCGGCGTTCGCTCACCTCTCGATCCTGTCACGGCTCTCCGCCGTGACAGGGGAGGGGCTGTATTCCCCCCGCTCCGATCCTCCAGCGCTGTCTGGCGGAACGGACGGGGGAGGGGGCGGGTACAGCTGGCTCTGCCCCTAGATAGGCAGAGCCAGCTGTCACTCACGCAGCTGGGCGGATCTTGACACCGATGTCGGGATCCGCTCCGGCTGCGGCGTCTCAGTATACCGCAAGCTGTAGCTCCCTATATACTGAGCCTAGGGTGACGGGAGGACGCTAGTTTGTGTCCTCCCGTTACCCTAAGGAGAACTATGGGGGAAAGCACCTGACCCCATAGTTCTCCTTTAAAAGACAATTTACTTTGATGACTGCGTGTGTTCCGCGTGTGAGGGGATTCTCTCTATCCAAGCCCTGCATACAAGACCAACTTCAACCACCGCCCTCTCCCCGGGGTTCATCCCCTAAAGGTGCCCCCCATACACTTTAGACTTCTGTCTTGCGATGGTTGTAAAGTAATTTAAAAAACGTACAATCTGCCCATCTTGGACAGGCAGATCGTACTTGCGATGATCGCAAGCCCCGCCCCGCGGAGGGGCGGGGCTTCCCATGACCGCAATGCTGAACGGGCAGTGTGCGCGCGCGCACACCGGCCCGTTCGGCATTCGCCTCCCGAGTGACAAGAAGCCGCAGAGTCCGCGGCTGAGCCGGTGATTTGGATGGTCCTGTAGACATTGCTGAACAACCACAACAACCCCCTTCATCTACCACGTGACCTCCGTATATAA